GAAGCGGAATGGAAGAAACGCCCCGTCCTACCAGCGCCTCATCGCACGTCTCCTCCACCCTCCTCCGCACAGAAAGTGCACTCAAAGAACACTGATAAACAATCAACGAAACCCTCCGTGGCGTCGACGTCGACGACGACCCCTGCCCGAACGCGTACAGCGACACCTGCCCGCACCACAACTCCCGCACAACCACCACCGACTTTGCACGCTCCTACACCGCGTCCAGTGCAAGCTTTCACGCCCACTGCCATCGCACCAAGACCCCCTCCCCGTCAATCAACACCCGACATGGACGTCGACGTCGCTGGCATGTCGCCTGAGCCCGATGGTCAGGGCGAAGACGCGGGACCAAGTGTCGGCACTGCGCGTGACGATGAAAGCGAAGAGATCGTACGACAACTAGAGAAAGGCCTGCCCAGATGGCAAGGCTATGGCGACGCAGGGTGGATGGAAGAAATTGATCCCGTTCGTCAGGTATTGCAACGAAGAACAGAATCCGCCACTGATACAGCTCTTGTAGGAACGCTTGGTAGACATAGTGCATACTATCAAGAGTTACAAAGACATCATGTACGTTTCTCTGCCAATTTATCCTGGTGTCGCTAAATTTCTTCTAGTGGTAATCGTCAGGCCGTTTCTCTGGAAGCCATCCCCGAAGAATCCACGTTACCTAATCTCTCGTACACGGTACGTATGACGTGTGGACCTGCGTATTGTCGCTGACGTACCCGTGGATAGACTCCTCTGTCCTTGAAAATAATCGAGGTAAAATCACTTTCCCATGCTACATTTCTTCAAAGCACCAATCAGCACATTAGGGCAAAGTACGCGCCAAGAGCTATGCGTCGTGTAAAGAATTCGATTTGGACATGATACGGTTGTTTGAAAAGGCGCGTAGATGGCATGAGCCTTGCACTGAACCATACGGTCGCGTTCTACTTCTGCAGGTTGGGACACTTGTTCGACAAAAATGCATATTATTAACGCCCCCCTCAGCGACTATATCAAGCGCTCACCTCCCTCTCTCCGCCTCCCGGCCCACCGTACTCGTCGAATACAAATTTCGCGTCCCTACGTGCAGGACCTGGGACCGCCAAACCTCTCCACACGAACGACACGGAAGGTGTTCCGGGCGTGACGACCTTCCGTGTATCAAACAAGGACCGCACTTTCGTAGACGAGGTTGTCTATAAGGGCTGGAGCATCCGGCTGGCTGACTGGATCCACTTGAGCAACCCAGATGACCCAAGCAGACCCATCATTGCGCAAGTATTTAAGGTGTGGACATCGGACGCGCCGTGAGTAGGCTGTATCGTCCTTTTCGGCTAGACCTCGACTTATCTGCACCCTAAAGTCCCTCCAAGGGGCAACCCGGCGTCACAGCCTGTTGGTACCACAGACCAGAACAGGCAGGTTCATCGTATGCATCGTGCATTTCTTTATCTAATTATGGAAGTAGACGTATCACCCAGCCCATCGGCAATTTTGGGAGGGCGAGGTTTTCAAGACCAGTACGCACTCGCCGTTTACTTGAAGTGATCGGTAGCTAAACCGTGCACCAGGCCATTTTGCTGACCATCCCCTCGAGGACCTCATTGAGAAGATCGCCTGCCAGTTCACCGCACGCCACATCCGCGGACGACCACGGCCCCCGTTTTGGTACCCCGGTTGGCCGCTCTACGTCTGCGACTCGCGATACAACGATCGCGAGCGTGTCTTTGTCAAGATTAAGAACTGGAACTCCTGCGTGCCCGAGGAAGTGCGCAAAAGCCAGGAGTTCATGCCCATCTATGAGTTCGAGCGCATGGTGTTCCCCCGACGATTCGGCAGCCCGTTTTTGACAGCGAAGAGTGGCAAGACGGCGCCCGTTAAGGGACCAGGGGGTATCGGGGATGCTATTGAGCGGCCCGAGGCTGAGAAAGGCGACGGCGGGACCGGCGGTCGCAAGAGGTCCAAGAGAACTGTCGGCGCCGGAGGCGACCACGCAGGGCCCAACAAGGGTCTGTATGTTGGACTGCCCGGAAACCCTGCATCGGGCTCGCAGCATGCGTACCAGCCCTCGCATCTATCGCAGCAGCCTCATCAGCAGCGTTTGACTACGGAAGACAGATCCGTCATCACTGCTGCAGGCGGGGCGGCCAGCCTCGGAGGCGCAGCATCAATAGAGAAGTTACCAGCTGAGACAGGTACGATCTCAGTGCGTAGATGGGGCATCATGGCTGATATTCTTTTACAGCAAAACACTTTGACCGCGATCCAGTGACAAACGAGGTGTTGTGGTTCGCATCCGCACCGACGAATGCTCCGCGTCCTGCTGCTCCCAAGCACAGTCTGGCTTACCTGCACTTTCTCGCCACCAAGCGCAAGCGGCAGGTGGACGACTCTAGCATGGATGTTGATGACGATGAGTCCTCGCCTGCTCGGAAGAAGCTCCCTCGGACCTCTACAGAGTCACTTATCCGGGCGATCGATAAAGTCTTCGGGAGTGCAGCCGGCTAGAGCTGTGGTTCATATCAACTTTGCTCGACGGTGTACCAAATACTGTACTTGTATCCATTCTTGTTAATTCTGTATACTCTTTCTCACGGCTGGTGAGCAGTCGTCATTCTGCTATATGTGTAATGCCCGCTGGTTGAATTTTCTAGGTGCGCTTTGTCTTAGCCATCAGGACATGCCATTTCCGCCAGACCTCCTACGCCAACGTTGCGCATTTGAGGTGCATCGCATGTCGGCCCGTCTGGTGCGATGCCTATTCGATGGCGTGTCATTCGTTCTCACACACAAGCAGCAGTAGCTGGGTGCCTATGTAATCTCATAGCCCTCAATCCGATCGGTCAGGAGGAGGGTAATGCGCTTCCTGGCATATGACCGAGGATTCTCCTTATTAAACTAGGCGTGAGTTTCATAATAAAGCTAGCCGCCCTCCCTGCTTTTCCTGAGTGCTCTTCTTTATCATCGGCGATATGGCTGACGAGACTAAAACACCCCTCCCTCCTCGGTTCGCAGAACTCAAGCAACAGATCGCGTCGACGTATCCTAATTTTGAGGAGAAAGTGACTCGCGCGTGGAATGAGATTCTCGCTGAACTTGAGCAAGTAACGAAGAATATCGCACGCGCAGGACCCGACGTGCGTTGGTCTGATCTTCCTAGATACCAAGATCCTGATACGACCAGCGGATAGTCAGTGCCCCAAGTCAGTTTCGCGGACCTGTCGACCTTGTCGCAGGAAGAAATTGCAGCGATCAAGCGAAAGGGCTGCATAATAATCAGAGATGTCGTCGACGATGCCCAGGCCTCGGGATGGAAAACCGAGCTCGAGAAATATGTGACAGCTAACAATGCTCCAGGTCTGCTTACTTTCGTTCTGATTTAACCCGTCCTTATATTCATTGACCGCCTGTCAAGGCTTTCCGGAGGAGAACAAACAGTTCTACCAAGTCTAGTCAGTGCTGATCTTGTCTTTCGTCAGAGATCGATTAACTAACGAATGTACTTATGATATGTAGTTGGAGCAAACCTCAGGTCCAAGCACGATCACATCCGAATGTGCTTCAGGTTTCCTCGTGGCTCAACGGGTTGTATCACTACAAATCGAGTGACGCAGAATCTAAGAATGCAGGAGTAGACCTAGCTACACCGCTATCATATGCAGACCGTTTCCGTATACGCCACCCGAGCCCGGAAGACTGGGGGCGCTTTCCTCCACACGTTGACTGTAAGTGCCTGCTTGCCTTTTATACTGTGCGGCAACGTAGTCGAGGTTGAATCTGATGCGGGCATCTTTCAGGTGGTGCTATCGAGCGTTGGGAAGACCCTAATTTCCGCTCATGCTTCGAGGACATTCTCCGCGGGGACTGGCGCTCGCATGATCCGTACAAGCTCGAGGGCCGTCTCAGCGCGCGGACATCCATGTACGGACGGCCCAATCAGGCGAGCAATATGCTCTATTCATCTCACTTTCGTACATGCACTCAATGTAGACTTGCAGGCGAATGTGTTCAGGACGTTCCAGGGATGGCTATCTATGAGGTTTGTACTCACTCTCATGCTCTTTCGCATTTTATCTCGTTCTTTGGCCTGCTAAATAGGCCCTACCTGCAGCAATACTGGACCCACAGAAGGCACGCTGAAAGTATTCCCGTATGTTGGACTCTCCAACGCCTACTTGATCTTGCGCCCTTTCTTCCGGCCCGTCGCCTCCCCTAGCTCACCCGGTCTACTTGCTGCGAGTGATTGGGAGTATGGTGTGTACAGACTGTGTTGTATCTTCTTTACGACTTATCTGATCTCTTGTTCGCCCGAACTTCATGATCAGACACCTCGTCGCCCGCCTTCCCTGGCATATTTCCTCAAGGGGACGGGTATGCAGGTCCGCGTCCGACTGTGGCAGAACATCCGCACCTGAAACTGGATACGACGATGGTATCCGTACCGCGAGTGAAGCCAGGAGACATGGTGAGAGTTCCTTTCTTTCGAAAGCGTCCAGGATTGACCAAGTGTGGATTTTGAAGGTATTCTGGCACTGTGTGAGTATACCTGGCTCCGTTTGTAAACGCATCTAAATCATGGAACTCGCAGGATGTAATCCACTCCGTCGAAGGTACTCATACTGGTCCAGAAGACTCCGCCGGTTCGTCCTCTCCTCTCACGTTCTTGTAATTTCACTGACTCCAGATTCCTCGTCACAAGTAATGTATATTGGCGCTGTGCCCTATACGCCCAAGAATGCGGCCTACATCGAGCGCCAGAAGGCAACGTTCCTCGCTGCACAATCGCCGCCGGATTATCCACCGAGCACAGAGAGCGGGTTTATCGACGTCGGGACGCCTGAGGATATTTCTGGGTTGAGGTCTTTAGGCGGGAAGGCGATGGGTTTTGCTGCCCAGATACCAGTTGCTTGAACGAGGGAGTAAACGCCTGCACCTGTATACTACTGCCGCGACTGTACGACTAAGGCTCTTCCCGATGTGATGCTCCAAATCGTAGTGCTCTTCAAGCCCGGCTAGCTCAATCGGATAGAGCGTCAGACTCTTAACTGAGTACGGGTTCTCGGTCTCCTCGACTGATACACTTGCCATCTGAAGGCTGCGAGTTCGACCCTCGCGTTGGGCTAATGGTTAAACATTTTTGCCTGACATTGCCCCGGACGGTTTCAAATCCTGTGCACTTTGCACCAATATTGGACGAATGAAAAAAAAACGTATTTCCTATTTGGGAACTCAACGCCTGCGATATTGCCACGCGACCGAAAAGGGGCATCGTCCAGCCAGTATGAGGTTCTCGAATTGTATAGGCAGTAAAGGCCGCAAAATCTGAAAGTACATTGATACTTGCTAGCCATAGTAGTACATACGGACAACGCATCTAGAGGACGTGGAAGTGTCCCGCTGGGTTTGAGTACAGGTTGTAGCGATGAATTTGTACAGCAGTCCAATCTAAGAGTACACCAAGTCAAGAAGATTCCGGGGTATCCTAGGCAAGCCCACCCGTACCGTGAGTAAAAGAAAGAGACCTAAAGGGTAGACGTAAGTCATAAATCGTAAATCGTGAATCGTAAATCGTCGAAGCCATGGCTACCGGTCCGCGTCCATTCACACACGGAGTCAATGGATCCCACCAGATGAGCGCTGGAGGACAGCTTGCAGTCCAATAGCTGTTCTGCCTGTGCGATCAGAGCCTACCCAACATCATAGCCCTATCCACGCCCGCATCCGCCTCCGGATCTCCTGGCCTGCGCGTCTCCGCTCCGCAGGAGCACCGTTATCGTCCTCTGCAGCCGCGCCCCCGAAGAGGACGGACTTGTTCTCGATAGCACGCCGGGCGAGGTAGGGCATAACCTCTTCGAGAGCTCCGTAAGGAATGTATCTGTGTGAAGCAGTGTATGTTAGCAAAGAGCGAGGACGTTTATAGTCTGTGGCCGGCTATATAGCCAGGGCGGAGCCTTCCATAGCAGACGTGATACGCACTTAATCACGAATGGCGCATCACACCGCGTCCTATTGACCAGCGATGCCGTCAGTGCATCACTCATTCCGTAGAGCTGGCCCATGCACACGCGCTCCGCCACGTTGTTCGGGATCCTGACGACAGTCGTGTCCGCTACACCGCTGCCGCTTTCCTTCGATGCCAGTCCAGCTGCGACCATCTCCTCCAGCACGTGCCGACAATTTGCCCAGTTGTGTGTGCCAAAAAGTACGCCGATCCCCACACCAGTTACGGCCTTGCTCGAGTCAATGCTGGTATCGGCGTAGGTTTGGTTGACAGTCGTCCCACGCGCACGCCACACATCTTCCGCAACCGCCCACACAAGTAGCCGCAGACATGCGTGGTAGCATGCGTCAGTCTCCGCCTTTGTGAGCCACACTGGCGGGAGTGTGTCCGGTGAAATGCTTTGCGCGTGCGCGGTGTAGCTATCACTGGCATGGTTATCCGAAGAGGATGCGATGGAGGTATCAGAGGACGAGGACGAGGGGTGCGCAGCAATCTCATGTGGGTGGTACGCTCCGCGCACAAGCTTCACGCCCAGTGCATACCCGTTGGCCTGTGCATCTGCAAGACTATGAGCAAGGTGCAAAGGAGTGCTATACGGAGAGGGAGAGTATTTGAGCCTGGTGATAAGTAAAGATTGTGCAAAACACGTACCGCCGGAGATAAGCCTGGTATGTCGCGTACACGAGTGGCTGGACGTGTCCTGCTGTTGTCCCGCTGTCCGCCTTCGCGTAGTCCGTGGCTATATCCGGTCTCGCACCTGAGGCATCGGAGGCACCGGTCGAGTGCGTAGAGAAACTCAGCCATTGCCCGATTTTCGAAATCACTGACACAGCTTCGGCTTTCGACGGCGACGAAAACGGAAGGGTAGCAGCCTTGGGGAGAGCGTTGAACTTTCGCATAAGGGAATGAGTGAGCGCATCGACGGCGGGCTGGTACCAGCTGCACAGGATGCCATCAGTCCATGCAAAATAAACATCATCACTCCAGAGTCGATGCCATCGTCACAAAGGCGCTTCAGCCCGCGCTATGCCATAGCGCGCTGGTACGCGAAAAGCCATGAAGGCACCTAAGAAGATTTTTGGGATGGAAAAGAAGGAAGCAGACACTCACGTATACTCGGCGTCCACGATGATTCGTACCCCACGGCGCTCTGCTGTCTCACAGATGCGCACGAGATCTGCGTGCAGCGCGCGGAGGGCAATGATGTCAGCGGGTGTGAGTGGGGCGTCTACGCTGACATGCGTGAGCTGGTCAGCAGCTTCGAGCGTTGAGGCATCACCCCGAGCGCCAGTCGTGGGATAGAACACGTCTAAATCGTGAGCAGATGGTGTTCCCGGGAAGGGCACTTTGAGGCTACCCGATTCCAGTTCTCCGATCCCTCTGTGAAAGCCGATACTGCGTTCCCATGACTCCAATTGTGCAGACCCTGGATCAGTGAAGGTGCTACGCTCCAGCGTCCGCTGCTGCACAATCCAAGCGGATAATCTGGCAAGTGAGGCCGCGGAGGGGAGGAGTGCGGTCTATACCATAGTCAGGGATTACGGTGCTGCAGGCCAAGTAGAGACACAGAGGTGCGCACCATCTTAACAGCGACCCAAGTTCTCCTTCCCGTCCCACCGCCCTCCACTGATCCAGGCAATCCATCCTCAAAATCCCCTGCGACATCTATCGAGCGAATCATTTCCTCGACCGCGCGTTTGTACGCGGGCATCTGGCCCTCTCCGGACAGACTCGTCTCAGTGCCATCCTGCTCTTGGTGCACTCCGTCACCACCTGGGCGATGTACATCGCTCGTCGAAACCCCCGGCACATCCTCGACGCCCCGCGGCTCGCCCACCTCAACGCTATACGCGAATAGCGCGCCCACGCCTTCTTGCCGCATGCGTGCAAGTAAAGGTGTACACGCGGCAGCGGTTTCCCCGCCGACAAACTAAGGGGTAGGAGAATTGAGTAAGCGACGCGTGCACTTGTACGTGAATATGCACGCGTATAGGGGTGCAGGCCAGGAGACGCGGCAGAGCGCCGAGGCGAGAACGCGTAGACGTAAGCCCGCTCGCGTCGCACACGAATCAGACCCATCGCGCATGGAGACTACGCACCTGCTTGAAGAACGTCGCGCGTACGACTGCCCTCGTGAGCTCGCTGACGCCGGGCAGGGGCGAGGCGAGGAGGGCATCTAGGATGCGCGGGGCAGCGTCGACAAGAGAGGGGAGCGATGTGAGGGTGTAGACCGCATATGTGCGCAGGAGGTCAGAGAGGGGTGGCTCGTGTAGAGGTGTGGGTGTCCGTGGGGTTGCAGGGGACGTGGCATCGGATGCAAGGTAAACCCCGGCGCCAGCGAGGGAGAGGCCGACTGCTAGCGGACGTGGGCGGAGACGCAGACGGGGGAAACGACGAGGGCGCATGGGACTGGGTACAGATAGCACTGACTGCTAGTAGTAAGTAGTGAGATAAGTAGCAGCCGTGCAGACTTGATATAGGCGCTCCGCGTCGATAGGATCCGCCCGGTCCGAAGTTAGGGGCGAGAGGAAACAAACCTGGACATCCGACGACTGGCCGACGACAAGATGTCCCGCGGGCAGAGGCAGGGAGAAGGTCACGATGATTCTGTGAAAAAGGGTAAGGATCCGTGCGCGCGTGCACCGCGATACCAGGAATTGAAATGCCGGCGAGTACGTGGCGTCAGCTGCAGGGATATGACGTGAATTGGGAAATATCTACGAATACAATATAAACACGATAAGTAGCCTTTTCATAGTACAATGAATGAACGAAATACCAATAGCAAATACAAAAACAAACCCCCTCACTGCACGTACCGCCCGACGCGAAGATCCAGCCTCGCCCCAAGCTCGAACCGGTCCTCCAGAAACGGCCGCGTCAGTATAGCGTTGAACTTCTTGATGCTGTCCGCGGGCTTGAACACGAAATGCGGGACAAGCACGGACAAGAAGCACTTCATCTCGAGCACTGTAAATTTCCACCCTGGGCATGCATGCGGGCCTAACGAGAACGTCATCAAGCCCGCCAAGCCAAGTCCCGGCGGCGCACTCCCCGCCATCCAGCGATCAGGACTACGCATCAATCAGTACACGCGCACGGCAGACATACAACACCAGCACGCACTTGAACACCATCGCGTCCGGCCCCCAAATGTCGGCCGAGGTGTTGAGCCCCTCGATCGGGATGTGCACGTACGAGCCGCGGCGGACAGGCACGGCGTGCACGAGCGTGCCGTCGCGCAGGAGGAGCGGGTGTGCGAGCGGGACGGCCGTGTCCTGCGTTGCGACGCGAATCGTGCCGTGCACGGGCGGCGCAAGGCGCAGCGCCTCGCGCACGACAGCATCGAGCAGCGGCAGCGCGTCGATGTGCGCGGCGAGGTGCGGAGAGTCAGAGTGCGTGGGCGTGGGTGGGGGCGTCAGGGGGCGTGGCGTAGGATGCGCAAAAAGCAGCTCGGCGCGGAGGCGCGTCTGGAGCTCGGGCTGGAGCGAGAGGTGGTGCAGCGTCCATACGAGGGCGAGCGCCGTCGAGTCGGAGCCCGCGAAAAGGAAAGTGTTGAGCTGGTCGAGCAGCTCGGTGTCGGAGAGGCGTTTGGACGGGTCGGACGAGAGGTTTGAATTAACTATGAAGGCGGTGAGAGTGGTCGACAAACATGGCAGGGTAGGGACGTACTGAGGAGGCTAAGGATATCCTTCTCCGTGATAGCCTCGGCGCTCGCCTTCTCCGCAAGAATCGCCTCCTTTTTGCTCTGGATGACTTTCTGTCCCTCTTCCCCGATGATCTTCAAGCTCGCCCGCGTGATGCGCGTCCCTTCGTCTGGCTGTGGCAACATGAATGAGTCTGGCATAAGCCAAGATGTGCGGACTCACGTATATCCAGTCGAGGATGGGAAAGTACAGTCTGAGGATGCCTAGGAACCCGGGGCCTTTGTCCTGGACGGTAAACATATCACGGTACGCGCGATACACGCGCTCGCGCTCGTTCTCCAACGCGCGAAACGCGTAGTCGAAACCTGCGAGACCTATCACATCGAATGTCGCACGCGAGAGCCAGTGTGCCACGTCGATCACCGTAGACTCGGCGTCGATTGCGTCTTGGCCTGCCTTTGGACTATTGGCATC